AATTGTACCTATTTCCTAGTACATCAGTTATCTCAAATCTAACATTCATGGATACGTTTCTTTTCTTTCTTTCCAAATAATCTCATCATGATATGTTTTCTATAACTAACGAATATCTTGTTAATTGAGGTATAGTACTAATAACTGACTCTCATTCTTTAAACCTGAAACACTTTTGAAATAATAACATTATCTTTATTATCATTCATTTGATTATTATTATCATTACTATTGATATCATTATCATTATCATTATCATTATCATTATCATCATCATTTTCATAATTTTTGTTATCATCATCATAACTATCATCATTATCATAACTTTTACCATTAGTATCATTATTTCTATATTATTATTAGGAGGACGCACGGAACAAATAAAGAAAAATGAAGTACACTTTTCTTTCTCTTTTACCTTCGTTCTTCTACCTTATGCCTCTCCTCTTTCCTTTCCCTCTCCCTCAAACTTCCCCTTTCCCTCTTCTCACTCCTCTTCCCACTTCAAGTCTTACCTCCGCCCCTCCCACTTTCCTCCTCTTTCTACTGACCCCCCCCCCTTGCTCCGCTTCCACATCTCCTTCCTTCCCTCGCTTATCCTTCTTGTTTTTCTGAGCCCCCCTCTACCGTCAGTCTACCGCCCCTCCCTTCCTGAGCCCCCTCTACCCCCCTCCTTCCTGAGCCCCTCTACCGCCCCCTACCCCTTCCTGAGCCCCCTCTACCGCCCCCCTACCCACCCCCTTAGTCCCCTCAGTTCCTCCTTCCCACCTTTTTCTGTTTATGACCCTTTCCATTCCCTTTACCCCTCTCCCCACTTTCTTCTCCCTCTTCCCTCCCCCTTCCTCTCCTCCCTCTCTTCTGAAGCTTCTCCCTCGGTTATCCGTGTAAATAATAATTGTGCATAAACTGCGGTTTAAGTACTACAATGCGATGTACTTGCCTCGGAAGAAAATGTGTGTGTGAGTGTGTGTGTATGTGTGTATGTGTGTGTGTGTACGTGTGTGTATGCGTAAGTGTTGTGTGGTTTGTTGTGTGTGTGTGTGTTTGTCTGTGCTTGTATGTGTGTGTGTGTGTTGCTGTGATACAGATGCAAGAGCTAAATTCTGCATTTCATTAGCCTGATGATGATCATTCATCTTTCCCATGAGCAGCAAATGTGATAATTGCGCGGAGGACAGCCACGTCAACCCGGCTCATGCCATTCGTTCTCGCAGCTCACTCACTCAGCTGAAATTTAAAGGCCTTTTGTCTTCAAGACAAATGGTGGAAAAGCATATATATGTATACAGACTGAACATTTTTTCCCCTAAATTGCATAATAAAAGACATGGAGGTATTTTACAAAACAGTTGTTATAATTGTCTATGTGTATAGGTACGCATGTACGTATGCACATTTCCCTTCCAGCCAAGTGCCGAGAACGCATCTTAGCATGGTAGACCGCCTCAGCAAGGTTCTGACACTATTTAGTCCATTGAAGCCAATGTAAAACGGAGAGTGATGAGACTGCATTAATTCTTCACACACACATCCACTGTTATGGCATACTGTACAAACGTACATGTGTGCACATACACACGTACACAGTGAGAGAGAGAGAAAGAGAGAGAGAGATAGGTAGATAGATAGATAGATAGATAGATAGATAGACAGATCGAGAGATAGATAGATAGAGAGGAAGAGAGAGAGAGAGAGAGAGAGAG